TATTTATCACTAGGTATTTAAAGACATATCGTTTCTTGAAAATATAGTATTTAATAATTATAGATTTGATACCCAATTCTCGTCTCCCCTTTTATCATATTTACTTTAGTAGACTTCCATTTATTTCTAAAAGGCCATACTATTCTTTTGGAGCATTATTATATAATTTATAGCATTGTTAGAATATTCTTTTCTTTTATTAATTACTTTCCTAGGCATGTTGGACCACAATCACTAATCTATAGTACATTTAAGCAAGCTAAATACACCAATGAACTAGTTATGTCATATTGAGGTTACAACCCCGCTCCTTCTCTTTGTAAGAAAACAATCCCTTTTTAGTTGCCTTCTACGTGTTTAATTTGATTCCTTAGTGAAGTAATTTTAGTTATAAATGTAGTCGTAATTGCAAATCCTATGCTTGTTTTGAAGATTACATTAGGAATTCACAATTTAGCACACTCTTTGACACTCTAGCACACACCACACTCCTCGTGGGATCGACCCTAACCTTTGTTGGATTTTGTTATTGCTAATGCTTCATATTGAGTTTTAGGATTGGACATCACCAAGTACCAGTACATTTCTCAACTCAATGCAGAAAATAATTACATTTGCTCATGATCTGGGATTGGGATTTATTGTAAAGTAGGTTTGAGTAAAAGTCAAGCAAAGCAAGAAAGTAGCTGCAAGTAATGCTAGAGCAGTCCATGGACTCCTAAAGTAAGTGTGTATCAGCTCAGCTATCCATGTTTTTGCCCTGTTATGGTAGTGCTCCTGAATTTTTTCTTTCACATTGTAGAAAATGTGCGCATTGTTCACTCCATAAGTATTGATCTCTTTGTACATTCTTGCCACTTCCTCATCGCTACCAAGCATGTTGAATAGTATCTGTTTTTCGCGTAGTTCTTTTACATCCCTGGGGCTCTCGATTAATGACTTCATGAAGTATACGTACGATGTCACAGCACGATCAGTAACAGTATTTGGGCACATCTCATAGGCTATCATGTTCAAGAAGAATGCCTTTGTGTAGATAGAAACATACCAAGTTGGAAGTTCAAGCTGGCCATAGAAGTATCTTGATTTGAATTTTATGTCCTTCAATGAATGAGTACAGCTAGGTCTGAAGTAAATTCCCTTAGCTTTGAGATCAGTCACCGAACGAAAGGAGTGAATGTAACTTTTCATATTAGCACGCTCATTGCTAATACTTTTCTTCCTTTTGAGCCATTGAGGTGTGCAAGTACGATGCAAATTCCTGACTTCACTGTATTGTGAGACAAGTCTTGTTCTAAATGCTTCAAGAAGATGCAGAGGCTCTTCTGCATGTTTGTAACTCATTTCGTCTTTTTGATCATATTCACCAAAGAGGGTGAAATTCAAGAACATCTCGAGCAATTCTTCTCCTTCATCCTTGTCATATCGTAAGCTGATCAAGAGTTTCAAGATCCAAAAAGGAATTTGATTCTCAAGCAAAAACATGTCTCGAACTGTTGTTGATAATGCCAACATTCCAAGATGGTGCCTGGTGGTTCTGAGTTTGTTATACCTATCTGATGTGCTAAGCTCGATGTGGTTGATAATAAAGCAGGCATCAAGAAGCATCATTAAGGCAAATTCATGATCATTGTACTTGTCTGCGAAGCCATCAACATAACAATTTCTTGCATTGTCGACAACTTCTAGTATCTTGTTATAGAAATAAGCTACGTCCTTGCTACTGCCTGAGACAAACATTTCAAGGGCTATATGCTTGAAATCCTCTGCTAGCTGCAGCTCTGGTTTACCATGGTGATAAGGTCCCAATGAAACTACCTTCGGATCATACTCGTGCCTGTTGTATTCGTCCATCTTCAGCAGGGGTAAAACTTTCTGTATTCGTCTTCTCCACGAGTATGTATATTCTCTTGGCATAGAGTCTGCTTGCAGAATTGGATCTGCTATGACAATATTCACTATTTCATTCCCATCTGTGGTACAGGAAGCTGCTTCACCATCACTGAATGCTTGATCATCTATTTTTTGATCAATTTCTGCAAATAGCTCCTCTTGTTGTCCTGTATGCCCTTCCATTTTCTGGGACTTCTTGCTTTTTGAGGTAAGAAAAGACTTTCCTTTTTCTTTTGTGGGGTTTTGGTAGTGAAGGAAGATTTGTTATGGAACTTTATATATGTATGGACTTTGGAGTAAGTAAGGTTTTGTAGAGCAAATAAATCAAGGAACTTGAAAAAGTCTAGGGACTCAAGAATGTCAAACCCATAAGTTGCCTACCATGAAGTTGTTTTCTTTTTTTATTCACAAGACCAGAATCTGGAGAAGATTTAAGGAATTCTCTAAGTCAGCACTTCATCCATCTGGTTTTGTTTATTTGCCCACTTTTCAACTTTCATGGTCAAATGTATAATTTCCTCTATTGCAGTTCTTACCTAAATCAGTTAAGAATCTTGGTTGCCTATGAAACATTCTATGCCAACAGCCACATATAGAATACTGTTAGTTTCAGCTGAACATGTGAAGTTTTGGTCTGCCATGAGAATATTTTTCAGGGTTGACTTATCATAAAATTTGTAATGAGAAAATAATTCAACTATGCCAATATTTCACAGAAAGTAAAAACAGAGGAAAGTGCTAAATTTAGTCCCAGAAAACGCAATAGGAGGCTGCAATAAACAGTAGTTTAAACAACTTCAATTTATGACTTTAGCGCAATAAATTGAAAGTTATACCAAGTTAAAGCTTCCCATCTGATGTCATGAGATTCAAAAGCATGAAATTTGCCAACTTAGATGATTTCCTCTTATCAAATTCCATTTATAATACCAGTGACTACTTCATACCACCATCAAAAGATGTGGTGCAGTGGATGAGACTGTTTTTCCCTTAATCAGAGGTCTCGTGTTCGAGTCCTGGGTATGAAAAATTTCTTGGTAGGGAGCGCTTCCCCACGACTGGGGCCCTACACGGCGCGAATCCAGATATAGTCGGACTCCAATGCGGGTAGCGAATACCGGGTGGAAAAAAAAAAAAAAAAAAAAAAAAAAAAAAAAAAAAAGACTACCTTATACCAAAATCCTTCTAATTGATGTGGCAATATAAGCATGGAGTTGCAGTCCTTGATTAATCACTTCTTCACCTAAGTCTATTACAACCTGATATTACCTTCCTTCAACTTTTCCAGGAAAATGTTGCTTTTTAGAAATTGAGAAGTCAAGATTGTAGTAAAGGAAGTCTCTTCTTTAGCAATCTCCGATGAACAAATTGATCTCAGTTATCAGTTATAAATAAAAAGAAGACAAGAAGACAGTAAGTTCCACTTTTATAGTCAAACTTTTAAGCTCAGAGACCAATAATTCAACTATGCCAATATTTCACAGAAAGTAAAAACAGAGGGAAGTACTAAATTTAGTCCCAGAAAACGCAAGTAGGCTGCAATAAACAGCAGTTTAAACAAATGCAATTTATGACTTTGGCGCCATAAATTGAAAGTTATACCAAGTTAAAGCTTCCCATCTGATGTCATGAGATTCAAAAGCATGAAATTTGCCAACTTAGATGATTTCCTTTTATCAAATTCCATTTATAATACCAGTGACTACTTCATACCACCGTCAAAGGATGTGGTGCAGTGGATGAGACCGTTCTTCCCTTAATCAGAGGTCTCGTGTTCGAGCCCTGGATATAAAAAATTTCTTGGTAGGGAGCGCTTCCACCCCGACTGGAGCCCTACGCGGCGCGAATCCAGATATAGTCGGACTACAATGCGGGTAGCGGACACCGGGTGGAAAACCAAAAAAAAAAAAAGACTACCTTACACCAAAATCCTTCTAATTGATGTGGCAATATAAGCATGGAGTTGCAGTCCTTTTCTATAATTTATATATCGATGACTTTGTTATCAATTCTCTGTTTCTAAATCCATTTTTAAAAGACTTAAAGGAGATGAACCCTTTTTTTTGTTTCCTTTTATTTTATGAAGTTAATGGATTAATGGACATGTTCCATTTATAATTAAAAAGATGGACATAGTTCACATGAAGCAAACTTGAGTCCTCAATAGGTTTAGCTGATTTAATAATTAAATAGAGGGGAGGTGATGTAGGACATTACGCTAATTCGTTTACAGGTCTGATCTTAATATATTCATACACCAAATCAGAAAGCTCCACACAACCTTTCCATTTGACAATATAGTTTTGAGGAAGTCCAGTTATGTTACAAAACTGTGTTACAGGCATAGCACTATATTTGCCTTGCACAAGAAATAAGTGGTCCTGCAAATTTGAATTACATTCTTTTGTCCATATATAGTAAAGACAGATCAGAAGTCAATTTTAGTAGCATCAACATCTCAATAATTTATTGTTATAGTACAATTGTTATATTATTATTTTGGCATCATGAGAAGAATAAATCTTGAAACAGAGGCATTCTGATAAGCGATGAATTTTGAACCAGTCATTATCTAGTTTCTTCAGCAGATAGTTTACTATTCAGCTAAAATTAGTCTAAACAATTTTCATAGTAGCTTTCAAGAAATCAAGTGACAAATCTATTCAACTTGATTAAATCCATGTGACCAGAAGGTCACGGGTTCGAGCCATAGAAACAACCTCTTCCAGAAATACAGGGTAAAATTGCGTACATTAGACCCTTGTGATCATGCCATTCCTCGGATCCCGCGCATAACGGGAGCTTAGTACACCGGGCTGCCTTTTACTATCATCTAACCAATATAAAATTAAATATGTCTTTGCAACCCCTAATTTTGATCAGTACAAAAAGGCACTATAACGGCCAGAAAGCAAATCAAATGTCACAGCCCCACAAGGAGTTTATTGATCTTTTTCTGGACCAGACCTATTGGTCTTCAACTGGATTTAACAACAAAATAATAACAATCTAAGAACCATATTCAGTTTTAGGAGTTCGAATCGAATATATTGAATCCCAACTGAATAAAGAAAAATTGCATGGTTGCAGACAGATGCACACAAGAATAAATGTAAGAAAATCTTTTAAAGATTGAGGCATGGAAGGTATTTAATTTGTTCTTATACATCTAACATGATAAATCTACCCCATTAATTAAGATTGTCATCGTCCAAATCCTTCTGTCATGTATTCACATTAAAAATTGAAAAATTTCTAACACTCGCTCGTGTTGAAAAATATGGGGGTTAAAAAGAAAGAGAAGCAAGAATTGGCCAAAATCTTTAAGAATACTTCAGTCTATGATTCCAAGTGACTCTAAGATGTGTATCTGAGTTCTTGGCTAGATACTCAGACAATTCTATGGAAACCAATTTCCTAAGAGTATATATCACTATGCAAGACACAACTCATGTACCTCACCATCACGGTATGAAAGAATTCCTCGCAGCAATCTTCCCAAGGGTGTTTTTCCTCAAGAAGAGTTATGTACAGAAGGTATTTTGTGAAGGTGAATTCCGTCCATGCCAGGAGGCGATTGGGGTGAAATTGCCTGACGATCAGTTTCACTAAATTCCAAGAATTTCCTTGCAGTTGCTTGAGGTTCCAATATACGACCCATCTTTCTCGGAAAAGTATCAGTAATATGAGGATATCTGGAGTCATTTCTGTTTCCAGTAGAAGATAAAGACTCTTCTTTTATGATATTTCTATGTGCTGAAGCAACAACAGAAGCGAAAACGCCAGATTCCTTCAATCCCTGTATAATGACCTATAGGCAGAAGAAGTTTAAACAGGTTGATTCAAGAGTTGAGCTTCTTGTAACTATGTTTGTCTGAGGGTTGACGGCCCCCAAAGTTAATTGAAATGAACTTGGACAATCAAGTATTATTTGATCTTACCATAGGAGTATATATGCGTGTCAATATGCCCTTCTTGATGAGTTTCCTAATTAGTGCTTTGTCGGTCCAAACAACATGTTCCCGGTACCTGATCCAAGAAAAGAATCTGTGAACATTTCCAAGTTACAAACCAAGAATAAATCAGCACCATGTGAACTAAAGATTAACTAGAAATTAGATTTTACAATATAACATGGGAATAATTACAGCAAATAAGTATTTAGTAGTTCGTTCCATCTAGGATTAAAGTGTAGTTGATAGATTGATTGTTTAAAGTAACAAGTTGTTCTGTTCCAATCAAAATTTTGCAGTAACTTTTGTCAAGCTAAGTATAGAACAAGTTCTCATAGAAGCAGCAGGTCGCACCAAATAGTAATATTTGCACAGTTTGGTTTATGGTTACATGGGATAGCTCTGTAACCCTTGAATACATTCACTGAATAGTATTTTAGTATGAATTGCAATGTGATAGTTTTAAAAATAAGAGAGGTGCAGTGCCAAGTAATATTAGCATGTCTCATATCTTCGTCAAATCATATGGTTTTTCTAAAATCATTTCTATCAGTAATAAAGGAGAGAACCGAATCCAAAATGCTGCACAACAGTTTAAGACAACACAATCTCGAAAGAGCTCCCTTTAGCTATTTCAAAGGTGAATTTATTCTGGAAGTGCTTTAGCAAATAAACCTCACTCATCCATCCGGTATCCTGGTATTAATCAACCTAAGAGGGAAAAGGAAATGAAACGAAAGGACTATGTTCTAGAAGTTCCAATTCATGTTCAACAATTTTATGTTGTTGTAGCTTCATATATGTATAATTTAATTTGCATAGTGGCATATACTCTAATGCCGGAAATCAAATAAAAGAAAGCACTATCAATTACTCCCTTCTTTGACAAATATCAAACTATTTATGTCAAGTTCATTTTCTTTCAAAGCTGTACATTTTTAAAAAAGAAAAAAAAAAGGAAGTATTCTTCCCGTCTTTTCCTGATACAAATAAAATGTACTGTTCAGAATCACCATAGTAAGTTTACTTAAATGAGCAGCCATTAACTGTGACAGAATACCGAAAGGAATTGATTCATGATGAAGTCAGAGGAAGGGAAGTTAAAAGAAGTATTACCACTGAAACATTTCCTCCTCTGTCACAGTTGAAGCTATTATAAAAGCCTGCAATGCAAAGATGAAAATTAATCGGCAAAGAAATTTCACAGTCCATCTTTTGAACTAAGAAATTGTGTACATGTGTATGCACACAACCTTGAAAAAGATCCCTTTGCTTTTTTCATATGTTTTATTTTCCAGCTTTTTCAATTTATTAGTTTTTTCAGATAACTAGATACTATTCACTCTTAGTTCAATCGGCGTGCCTGCATATAAGTGTTTTTTGAGCATTCATTATATGTTTANTGCTTAACAAATAACTCGTAGTTGCATGGTTGGTAGAAGAATCCAGCAAGCCAAGTTTCATTCCAGATCCGACTAGGATACGGGGCATAATAGATCAGCAAATCAAGGTGAGATGAAATATAGAAAACAGAGCATGTCTTCTAGTTCTTACAGAAAGTGCACTACCTAAATTTAGTTTGATTTAAGTTACTACCTTGATTAATCACTTCTTCACCTAAGTCTATTACAACCTGATATTACCTTCCTTCAACTTTTCCAGGAAAATGTTGCTTTTTAGAAATTGAGAAGTCAAGATTGTAGTAAAAGAAGTCTCTTCTTTAGCAATCTCTGATGAACAAATTGATCTCAGTTATCAGTTATAAATAAAAAGAAGACAAGAAGACAGTAAGTTCCACTTTTATAGTCAAACTTTTAAGCTCAGAGATCAATATTTCAAAACATCAGTCATATAACGCTCACGACAGATCCAAGCTTCTCAAGAGGATGAATGACATAAAATATACGTCAGTACTATGTTTCTTGTGTTGAAAGGAGTAAGGGTTGGAGGAAGAGAGGTGAACGAGTTATTTCTCTTGTTTAGTAAGGGGATGAAAGAAGAGGCAAATAGAAGTCTCACACCTCTTCATTATCAGACTTAAAGAAATAAGTAATACCTCATTTACTAACCTTCCAGTATACCAAACAAAGGAAGTAAGTGCTCCGTCGAAATAAATCAATGAATTTCACTCTCATTTACCCTTCCCTTTCCCTTCTAGAAACCAAGAACATTATGTGTTTGAAGCAACATAAAGCAATTGAATTGTACGAGGCTGAATACAGAAAACAAAACCCCCAGAAGGCAAAACAAACATTTTCCAAAACAATAGGAATATAATATCTACTCTACTGAACGGAGACCTTATTTTTCAATAGTTTAGCACAGAATATGTATAAGACATGCAAAGATCAGTTACCTTTTGGCTTGTACATCTTCTAGTTCTCTTGTTCTATATATAACTTTTACTCCCTGCAGAGTATATACATTTCATATATTAATCAAGAGATGAAATCTGTCAAGTCCAAATACACAAAACAGTAAAAGTGCTGAAACTGAAAGTTCAAGGCAAAAAAAGATAATGGAAATTATAAGGAGATATTAACACTTACTTGGATGGATTCTAGCACCTTTGATACATTGGGGGATGCAGCTTTTCCCTCCACAAACAGGAAAAAGTTTGTTACCCCGATAACCTTATGATAAAATAACCAGGGTAGTATCTGCTCTAAGCCAGCGGACGTACTTGTAGTGATTGATATCTAACATATATATCGAGCAAAGGTAACATGTTGCTTAGGGTACTGATAAAGTGGAGATTGGAGAAAGAACAGTAAAGCTTCAGTTAAATATCCAAGACGCTGACATTTATATTTGAGCTTCAGTTAAATTGAGACAACAACAACAAACCCAGTATGATCCCAACAGGTGGGGTCTGGGGAGGGTAGTCTGTACGCAGACCTTACCCCTACCTAATGCAGGTAGAGAGGTTGTTTCCAATAGACTCTCGGCTCAGGAAGGGTAAGAAGAAGAAGAGAAAGCAAGGAAGGAAGAAGGAAGGAAGAAGGAAGGAAGAGAAAAGAAAAAGGGAGAGATAAAGGATAAGTAGTACCAAATAATAGCAACAAGGAATACAATACCTGAGGCGAACAAAATCACATAACGTAATAAAAATCTAAGAATATGAAGGGACATGCATGCTACTAAGACTATCGGTGAACAACTAAAAACTACCAACTAACCTTCTACCTTAATCCTCGACCTCCACACCATCCTATCGAGGGTCATGTCCTGAGTGAGCATGCATTTATTTTTATCTTGAGACTAAATTGAGACTAATGGTAAAAAATGGTGAAGTTATATTTAACTGTCACATTTCTATCTTCTTTGGAGAAATATGTTTCAAGTTTCAGGAACTACCTATCATGCCTAAGCAGAAGCATGAACATCAAACTTGAAATTTGAGAGAAACATTGAAATCGTCAAAAGTAAATGGGGTCAAGGACCTTGTACAATGAAAATATTATATCATTCTGATCCTGATCCATGACATTTAAGATAAAATAGAAATACACTCGTTATATTGCTTAAAAATATCAACATTGAGCAAGGTTCAATCAATTCCATTACTTCAAGAATGTGACTACCTTTGTTCTTAAACATCACCAGCAACTCACTTAGCAATTTCAGTTCGAATATGAATATGAGAGCTAAAGGTGGCAACAATTAATGACACACATAGATAAAATAATGCTAAAAACAAAATGAATAGAACCTAATTCTATATCAGAAAAGGCCAAGAACTAATAACATGGTTTATCAAACAGGTGGACCCCATCATCAAACGAACTCTTTGCACAATCCATGCCACAATAGCAAAAAGACACTTGGCAAATAAAGATAGAAACGTGTTCATCTTGCTTCGATTGATTAAAGGTTTAGTACTACTACTTTTTTGGTAACTAAAAAGTTTAGTACTTCAACATGAAGTTGTTATATCAATAATAAAGGAAAAAGATATAAAGGAACCACGAAAAGCAAATAAACAAGCAAACATGAATCCAGAATCATAATCAAGAATACAACCACACTATTCCAAGATTTATTAAATTAGTTTTAAACTTTTATTCTCCAAAACTAGTCACCCATAATTAACAAAATGAATCATGTTGACAAATAACTGAATTTCTACACCATATTTGAGATTCCTCACATACATGCATTTTAGGCACATAACATACATTGACAAAAAAAAATAAAAAATAAGAGCATAACCCAAAACAAGATCAAAAACCCCACCAAGAACTAAAGGAGAAAACTTCAAGAAAACACATAAAAATATACAAACAATAAAAACTAACCTTAGGCTTAAGATCCGACCCGGAAGATGACTCGAGGTTAAACTTCCAATCTTTGAAGTATGGAAACGACGGCATACGACTCTGGCCAAGAATATTTTCACAACCGGACAAGGAAGAATCCGATAAACGTACGGGTTTTGACCCACCCATGCCGTGAAACTCAGTGGGATCATCATCAGGTGCCCATCGGGTACTCGGGTCGGGTAACCCGCCACGCCATTGGAGAACAAAAGCAAAAGCAGCGAGTGATACAGAGAGAACTGTCAGTAAAAACAGCAAACGAGAAACAAAAGCAGAAGTATGATAAAGACCCGCCATTGAGAATTCAAAGAAAATGGAGAATTGTAATATTTATATATGATATGATAAAGAAAAAATAAACCGTTTGATTGTATACGTTTTGTGTGTGTATATATAGAGATGTTTTCATGCAGAGAACTGGGACTCTGAGAGAGAGAGAGAGAGTTGAAACTGAAGAGTTTTGAGTCGTGCAGCATATGGGAACTTTGTATTAGGAGTCGTTTTTGCCGTTTATAGTGTTGTCATTAGCTTTGATAACTCCGAATGTAATTTCATGGGCTATTGAGCTAATCGATAAGGATTACTATAATATTTAGATTATGGTAGGTTTCATAAGGTGGAAAAGTTAATTTATTATAATAACCGAGAATATTCGTAATTCAGTTCGTTGTCACCTAGGGGTGATCATAAAAATTCAAAAAATCGAACCAAAGTAAAAATCAAATATACTGATTAAAAAAATAATATTGTTTTGGCTTGGATCGTGTTGTTTTGGTTTTAAATTTTAAAAATCAATCAAATTTGGTGTGGTTTTGGTTTTAATTAAAAAATAACTGAAAAATCGAATCAAACCGACTATAAAAGTAGCTATTTAAAATTTGTTATTACACCTATATATGTATATTTTTATACAAAGTTTCTAAAATTTTATGGCACATGTTAATCGTTTGCACTTTTAGTCTAGTTTTTTGCTACTACAATAATCTAGTTCTTTGCTTTTACATTCTAGTTTGATTGATAGTTTTCTTTTGCAAAAGTACAAGAATCTATTTCTTGTTAAAATTATCTATTTTTAATTGAGTCCTTAGATAATTCATCACTATTTGATTCAATTATCATCAATATATCTTTGTAAATGATTTAGATTTATCAAATAGCAATTGGTTTGATAGTGTTAACTTGAAATATAGTCGCCGGAATATGTGTTTGGGATAGTATGTCTCATATGTAAGAAAAACCGATAAATAATCCAAAAACCCGAAAAAAGACAAAAAGTGATCCGAACCGAATCAATAAAAATTCGACTTAATTGGTTTGGTTTGGTTCCAATATTTAAAAAACCAACTTACTTGATTTGGTTTCTTTTTAGGGAAAATCAGATTCAAACCAAACTATGGACACCCCTAGTCAACTTGTTGGTGAGATGGATTTTGTACTTGCCATAATATTAGGGACGGTTTGGATGAAACCACTAAGTCTCATATATTTGTATTAAAAAATTATTATTAACTATATATAAATATTTCATTATAAACCCGTAACTAAAACGAGGTTGGGTTCGGTAGCAAGTTTAATAGCCTATTAACGTTTGGACAAACTTATAAAATCAACTTATTTTAAAAAGTATTTTTCTCAAAAATATTTTTCAAGGACGTTTTTTTTGTCAATCTTCTGAATTTAATAACTTTTGTATAGGTTGTTAAAAAGGGTCGATATCAAATACCAAGTGAGATGCATTTGCACGTACATGGTAATGATGAAACATCTTTTGTTGGTAAGAAATTCCGAATCGTACATGTAAGAAAACTTTTTAAATAATTTTATTGACTTTACTTTCATATATTTTTTCGTTTTGTAAATTGAATTCTCAATATTCTTTAGTCTTTCTATTTCACTAATTATTAACTCGTCTACAGGAAATATATCAGAAGATATTACAACAACAAACACGAACTCAATCTGTAATTGATCAGTGTAAAGCATATTATCAAGCCACGGAAGGAAAAAAGAAAAGAAGAGTATATGGTCTTAGATCTCAAGCAAAATGCTACTACGGGCCAAATCTTCGTGACTCTTTTGGATCTGATGCTACATCGTCAGCAGCACCTCCAAATGCTCAATCAACACTGACATGGAATCTGGATGAGTTAGTGATGCGATTGATTCCTGCACTGACCGATCATATAGTTCCTGTAATGGTTAAGCGGGTACGCGAATTAGTTTTCTTACCCTCGCATCAACCAAATACCGATCTTACCAACCACACATCAGATGTGTCACCTAAAGTTCCTACCTCTTCTACTGTTGCTAACATTAATGAAGTTCATGCATAGGGTTTTGATGATGACCGTAACTCTCTAGCCTCGCATAGTTAGCCTATTTTGGTTGAACTTTATAGTTAAAACATAAATTGGTATCAGAGCAGGTTATCCTTGAAGAGGCTAACACCTTAGGAGGAGATCAAGATGATTGCACCACCTGAAAACTGGGAAGGGCAATCCACTACTAGGCCACCACTTTTCAATGGCCAGTATTACTCTTGGTGAAAAAATAGGATGAGAGATCACATCATAGTGGAAGACTATGAGCTATGGGACATTGTCACAGATGGTCCACTGGCTACCATGAAGATAAATTCTGAAGGAGAAGAGGTACCAAAGACAAGAGCTGACTGCACTGGTGACGACTTGAGAAAATAGGAGAAGAATGTTAAATCCAAGAAATGACTTATTTGTAGACTCGATCCAGATGAGTACAGTAGAATCTAAAGTTGTACCACTGCTAAGAAAATCTGGGACACTTTGCAAGTGTCCCATAAAGGAACACCTCAAGTGAAGAGGTCCAGAGGAACACTACTATATTCTTAATATGAGAATTTCACCATGAAGGAAGGGGAAACCATCCTTATACAAAGTTCACCACACTGACAAATGAACTTAAGTCTCTTGGGAGGATTATTTCTGAAGAATATAGAATTGAAAAGATTCTAACAAGGGTTCTGCCAGTTACTTGGGAGAGCAAAATCACTGCCATTCAGGAATCAAAGAACATCGCCACTCTTAGGTTGGATGAGCTAATTGGAAATCTCACTGCTTATGAACTTAGAAGGCAAATCATGAAGATGGATGTACCCAAGAAGGAAAGGAGCCTAGCACTCAGAATCACTGAAGGTTCTGATCTAGAAGATGATGAAATGGCTATGATCACAAAGGACTTCAAGAAGTACCTAATGAGAGGAAAGGGTTCTTCAAGAAGTGGAGGCTACAGCAAACTAAGGGTTCCTGAAAAAATAGACCAATGAGGGCTGCTACAAGTGTGGGAAGACTGATCACCACATCAAACACTGTCCTCAATGGGAAATTGAATGGAAGAAAGAAAGAGCTTAACGAAGAAACAAAAAGAAGGAACAGGTTCATCCCAAGAAGAACAAAGGATCAATAAAGGATATGGTTGCTACTTGGGGAGAAAGCTCAGATGAGGACTCAGATGATGAAGATGGAAATGAACAAGAACTTATGGCAATTGGAGAATCCGATGAGGAATCTGATGTAAGTATAATCCATCTAAAAGACAAGATTAAGTTTTTGTCTAAAGAAAGGATATATGGGTTACATCTAGATTTCATTGATGAATCTGAGGATATAAACAATGAAAAGAAACAGGTGTCTAAGGAATGTGTGATTTTAAAAGCAAAGTGTAAGAACCTGGAACTTAGAGTTAGTGAGACTATAAGTGAAAATACTGCACTAAAGAACCAGGTTCATGCATTTGAATCAAATATCCTAGAACTTAGATCTGAAAACCTAAAACTGAAATTAGGAACAAGTAAGAAGACAGCTGATTGCACACAACTCACTCTAGAAGAAAATATAGGTAAACTAAAAGATGAGTTGTATAAGAAGGATGAGCAGGTAAGAACTTTGACAGAGGATCTAGGCAAGGTCAAGCATGAACTAGACAGAACTTGTAAATGGAACAGGTCCTCCGATGCACTGTCATGGCTACAGGAACATCATAGTAGCAATAGAAGAGAAATTGGCTTTGGGAATCTATCACCTAAATGGGATCCCAAAAGCAAGCATCTCACACTTCCTGAGAACATAATTTGCATACACTATGGTAAGACTGGTCACTATAAAAGTGAATACACTGTAAAAGAAAAGGCTAGTCAAAAGAATAAAAAGTTTATTCAAGGAAAAAATAGGCTGCCAAGTTGGGCTAAAAAGAATTTGATTCATCCTTTTGCTTATAGAAAGGGACCCAAACTAGTTTGGGTTTCTAAGACTAACCCCTGATTTCTTTTTGCAGGTTCAAGTGAAGGGGAGCAGCCAAATATGGTACATGGATAGTGGCTGTTCAAAGCACATGACTGGATGCAAGAACCAGCTCCTTTCACTTGATGACCTCAAAGGAGGTAATGTCTCCTTTGAAAATGGGAAGAAAGGTGAGATCATTGGGGTTGGTAAGGTAGGTAAGAATGACTCTCACTCGATTAAGAATGTCTATTTGATAGATGACCTAAAATACAGTCTAATTAATGTATCACAACTGTGTGATAGAGGTAACTTGGTAGCATTCACCTCTACTAAATACTTTGTGATTAATCTTACCACTGACAAGATTGTTTTGCAGGGAAAATGAGTGAACAATATATATATTGTAGATCTGTCGACACTGTCAGAAAATGAACTCACTTGCTTAAGTGTATTGGATAATGATCCTCTCCTTTGGCACAAGAGACTTGGACATACAAGTCTGAGTCAACTCAACAAATTAGTCTCCAAGGACTTGGTGATAGGACTGCCTAACATCAAGTTCAAGGAAGACAAAGTTTGTGAGGCTTGTGCAAGGGGGAAGCAGGTAAGATCCTCCATTAAATGCAAGAAAGTGGTAAGTACCACCAAAACGATGGAACTGGTCCATATGGATCTCTGTGGTCCAATGAGAACATTAAGTAGAGGTGATAAAAGATACGTGATGGTGCTTGTTGATGATTACTCTAGGTTTACTTGGACATTATTTTTAACATCTAAAGATGAAGCATTTGACATGTTCACTTCTTTTATTAGAAAAACTCAGAAACAACTAGGTAATCAACTTGCATCAATTAGGTCTAATCATGGCACTGAATTTGAAAATGCTAAATTTATTGAATTTTGTGATGAGCATGGCATAGATCATAATTTTTCTGCTCCTAGGACTCTTCAACAAAATGGAGTATTTGAAAGAAAGAATAGGACACTTGAAGATATGGCTAGGACTATACTTCTTTCTAGTAAACTGCCTCATAGCTTCTGGGCAGAAGCTGCAAAAATAGCATGCTACATCATAAATAGATGCATGACTAGACCTCTTGTTGAGAAGACTCCCTATGAGTTACTTAAAGGGAGAAAACCAAATACATTCCATCTTAGGACATTTGGATGCAAGTGCTTTATGCACAATAATGGTAAAGACTCCCTAGGCAAGTTTGATCCTAGAAGTGATGAGGGAGTATTCTTGGGATATTCTTCATATAGAAAAGCTTATAAAGTCTATAACAAAAGAACTATGTGTGTTGAAGAAAGTGTTCATGTGGTTTTTGATGAAAATAAAATTCTTTCTAAGAGATAGGAACATGATGATGAAGCAATTCGGCTGGTAAGAAACTTAAATGAAACCACAGCCCAGACTGAAGCTGCACTTGAAGAAGGAACAGGTGATGGAACAGGTTCTTCCACCTAGAGCAACATGACAGGGGGAACAAAACTAAGAGGAAATGATCCCCAAACCTCAATAGAACTTGTCCATGAACTTGTTCCACAGCAACAAAACACTGAAGGAACATCAAGGGAAACCAGTTGGTTGTGAAACCTTACAAGTATCAAAGTTTTCATTCCATTGAGAACATAATTACTTATCCAACCTATGGAATCAAAACCATATCTTCATTAAAGAATCTTTGGGCTTTTGATGCTTTTTTATCTCTTATTGAACCTAAAAATGTTACTGAGGCTTTGCAGGATGCAGACTGGGTAAATGCAATGTAAGATGAACTCAACTAATTTGAAAGGAGTCATATTTGGCATCTGGTACCAAGACCCTTGGACATATCAGTAATTGGCACAAAATGGTTCTTCAGAAAAAAACTTGATGAAGATGGAACAGTTACAAGAAACAAGGCAAGATTGGTGGTTCAAGGATATAGCCAAGATGAGGGCATAGACTATGATGAAACCTTTGCTCCAGTTGCAAGGTTGGAAGCAATAAGACTCCTTATAGCCATTGCTGCTTACATGGAATTCACCCTCCACCAGATGGATGTCAAGAGTGTCTTCCTCAATGGCTATCTAAAGGAAGAAGTGTTTGTCAAGCAACCTTCGGGGTTTGAAAGCAAGGAGAGTCATGATCAAGTGTACAAACTTGACAAAGTACTTTATGGGCTCAAGCAGGCGCCAAGAGCATGGTATGAAAGATTATCAAAGTTTTTGCTTGATCATGACTACAAAAGAGGTAAAATTGACAATACTTTATTCTTGAAAGAAAAAGGTAAAGATCTCTTGGTAGTTCAGATATATGTTGATGATATAATCTTTGGAGCAACTACTGATAAGTTAAGTAAAGAATTTGCTAAACTAATGGGGGGTGAATTTGAAATGAGCAAGATGGGAGAGCTTAATTTCATTTTAGGCTTACTAATTAAACAAAATTCAAATGGAACTATGATCTATCAGCAGAATTATGTAAAAGAGTTACTTAAAAGGTTTAAAATGGAAGACTCCAAAGAAATTGACACTCCTATTGCAACAGCTACAAAGTTGGATATAGATGAACCTGGTTCATCTGTGATCAGAAGTTGTGTAGGGGAATGATTGGCTCATTGTTGTATCTCACTGCTAGAAGACCTGACATTATTTTCAGTGTAGCCCTTTGTGCAAGATTTCAGGCAAACCTGAAGGAGTCTCACTTGACTGTTGTCAAGAGAATTTTGAGATATCTAAAAGGCACCACTGATCTTTGTCTTTGGTATCCAAAAGTTAGTAATTTCAAAATTGTGGGATATGCCGATGCTAATTATGCAGGTTTTCTTGTGGATAGAAAGAGCACCTCAGGTATGGCACACTTTCTTGGCTCATGTCAAAAAGCAAAATTCAGTGGCCTTATCTACTGCTTAAGCTGAGTATGTTGTTGTTGCCTCATGTTGTGCTCAATTGTTATGGATCAAACAACAATTAATGGATTTTAGAATTAATATTGGTTGTATCCCCATTTCTTGTGATAACACTAGTGCAATTAGTATGACCAAGAACCTGGTTCATCACAAGAGAACTAAGCACATAGATGTTAGGCATCA